CCGGGGGCTCCTCCCTACCAAGCCAGCGGCCGCCAGCTTGGTACCCCGCCAGCTTGGTATCCCTCCAGGGCCTCCTTACTACCAAGCCAGCGGCCGCCGGCTTGGTACCCCGCCGGCTTGGTACCCCCCCGGGGGCGCCTGCCTACCAAGCCAACGGCCGCCGGCTTGGTACCCCGCCGGCTTGGTACCCCCCCGGGGGCTCCCCCTACCAAGCCAGCGGCCGCCGGCGTGGTACCCCGCCGGCTTGGTATCTCTCCAGGGCCTCCTCCCTACCAAGCCAGCGGCCGCCGGCTTGGTACCCCGCCGGCTTGGTACGCCCAGAGGGCTCCTCCCTACCAAGCCAGCGGCCGCCGGCTTGGTACCCCGCCGGCTTGGTACCTCCCCGGGGGCTCCCCCCTACCAAGCCAGCGGCCGCCGGCTTGGTACCTCCCGGCTTCGTATCCTACTGGCCTTCGGCCCTTCCCGCCATCGTGCCTGGGTGGTGGGTCACAGGCCTCATGGATGTTGGTTGAGATCTCGTGGTTGGCTTCTCGGGGGCCTCTTGGAGGCAGTTTTGAGGCATCTTGGGGGCTGTTTTGGAGCTTCTTGGGGCCTCTTTTGGGCCTCTTGGGAGCCTCTTTGGGGGCGTCTTGGCGGCCCCTTGGGGCCTCTTCGGGGCCTCTTGGGGTCTCCTGGCGGCCTCTTGGGGCGGAAGGCTCGAGCTTTCGGTCAGTGGTCCCCCTCTGGGCCCTCTCCTGGGGCCGTCTTGGGGGCCTCTTGGGCCGTCTTGGGCGCCTCCTGGGCCGTCTTGGGGCCCTCTTGGGCCGTCTTGGGGGTCTTGGGGCGGTCTAGGGGGCCTCTGAGGCCGTCTTGGAGCGTCGGAGAGCCGAAAAGGCGGGAGGGCCAACATCCTTCAAAAACAAATGGAAATTGTCGATTTGGACCTCTTGGGCCGCTCTTCTGAGGCCTGTTGGAACGTCTTGGGGCCCTCTTGGACGCCTCTTGGGCCGTCTTGGGGCGTCTGGGCGGCTTCTTGGGCCGTCTTGGCTCATCTTGAGAGTCTTGGAGCGATCTTTGGGCGTCTCGGGGGCCTCTTGGGCCGTCTTGGACGCCTCTTGGGGTTATCTTGGCCCGTTTTGGGGCCCTCTTGGGCCCGAACCAGTCACGCGACAAGTTGCCGGGGACCCCAGGGGAACGGCCGGGAGCCCCAGGAGATTTGGCAATTTGGGGTCTGGTCCCTCAAAATATTCCTCAGGACTGAGGACTGAGGCCCAGGGGATGAGGCAGAGGACCTGAGGACACGCCCACTCCGTGCCCAGAGGCACGGTGGCGGATGAACATATACTTATGTATACATGTATGCCTACATATACACATACACACAAATATATGTATAGATATGTATGCATGCACATATATAGATGTTCATATGTAAACATATATATATATATATATATACACGCAGAGATAGAGAGAGAGAGGGAGAGGGAGAGGGAGAGGGAGAGGGAGAGAGAGAGATGCAATTCTTGAAGCTTCGCGTGCCCCCACCAGCCCATCCAGTAACGATCGCCAGGCGAGTTGCCTTGATCAGGGAAGTGTAGAAGCATGCAGTGGAACAACCGCCTTGGAAGTGTTTCGGGGGCGCTGAAACGGCGGGGACATGTGTTGAATGATTTTACCGATGTTCCGCACTTGGCTTGTGCATTTGGGCCGCAGGAGTGGGGGTGCGCCTCAAGACCCGCCTCGAGACGCCATGACAGCCTCCAGAAAGGCTCCGAATACACCCTGGAAGGGGTTCAAGTTCGACCCGAAGACATAAACACGAGCCCAGAAAACGTCCAGGGGTTCCGAAGAAGCCTCCTCGATCGTTCCACGACGGCACAAGTGGCTCCCGAGGCGGCACCTTGTAACCTCAAGAGCCTTCGAGAAGCCCCGGGGGCGCCCCCCCAGGGACTCCCAAAACGCCCCAAGACAGCCAGAGACGCTCCCACCAGGCCATCAAAGAGTCCCCAAGAGGCTCCCATCCTGGCGCGGATATTCCCGCAGGATCGGTAACTTCGAAACTCGATCCTTGAGGTTGGAACCCCATCGTGAGAGGAACGATGACGCGGAGGAGGATCAGGAATGCAAGGGCGAGGAGGGAATCAGGATGATCACGAGGAGGTGGATGAGGAGGTCGATGAGCAGTGGCAGGACGCCACGGCAGCGGAGGAGGAGGAGGAGGTGGAGGAGGAGGAGGAGGAGGAGGAAGAGGAGGAGGAGGGGATGACGACATGCGCGCGAATGCGGTAGGAGTCAGAGGAGGAAGAGAGGGAAGGAAGAGAGGGCAGAGGGGTATTGTAGGTGGAAGGTAAGGGTCAAGATTCTCGGCTTCAAGCGCTGGGGGCTTTCAGCTTTGCACGGCCGTCGCCATGGTGATGCTGAAGTTGTTGGCCGTGAACGGCCACTCGAAGTCCGACGTGATCGAGGTTGACTCGGCGGCCAGCGGGGCGGACCTCCTCGCCGCGATCAAGGCCAAGCTGGGCTGGACCTTCACGGCGGCCAACTACCATAACGAGGCTGGCGATTTGTTCTCGCCCCAACTACATGCTAGCACTTCCTGTGCATACCACGGCGCGTGCACACCACAGCAGCCGCGTGCACCACAGCGCCTGTGTACACCGCCGTGTTTACGCGCACCACAGCTCCCGCGTGCACGACGACGCTTGTGTAGACCACAGCTTTTCGTTTACTGCAGCGCGTGCGTGAACCACGGTGGTTGTGAGCACCCAGTGCCTGTGTGCCTGGGAGAATTCATGCTTATCGTCCGTGCCGGCGTTGTGGCTAGCATGTAGCATCTTGGGATGCAGATCCCCGGAGGGGCGCGCGCGGGGCGAGCCGCTGCCTCTCGACCAGCCGCTCGGCGACACCCTGAAGGACGGCGCCACGGTCACGGCGAAGCGGGACTGGGGCGCCAGGCCGCCGGCGGCCACTCCGGCGCGGCGGGCGGCAGCGGCGCCGGCGAGCGAGGGCGGCAAGCCTCGCTCACGCTCGCGCTCCCCGAAGAGCTCGGCGCCGGACGGTGGGTCGACTCGCGAGAGCGGGGCCGCGAGCGCGGCCGCGCCCGCGGCGGCGGTCCAGCAGGCTCCGCCGCGCGCAGCCGCGGGGGCGCCGAGGGCGGCGGCGCCGCGGGTGGCGGCGGCGCCCCCGGCGGCGGCGCCGGGGGTCGCGGGGGGCGAGCGCGGCGCCGGCGTTGGCAGGCTGCGGGAGGAGCTGGCGCAAGCGCGCCGGAAAGCCGCCGCCGCGGCCGCGGCGTTGGGCGTGCGCGACCAGGAGCTCGCGACGGCGCGCGCGGAGCTGGCGCAGGCGCGCCAGGAGGCGGCCGACGCAGACGCGGCCTGCAGCAAGGTGGAGACGAGGTCGGTTCACGGGGTTGACGGCCACTGAGCGCGCCTGCGGGAGAAAGTGCAGACTCCCTCGCGCGGGGGCGCCGGGCCGCACCGCGAACCGCGCTTGGTCTGCCAGGTGCGCGGGCCTGACGACGGAGGTAGCCCGCCTGCAGGGCGAAGGGGAGGCGCTCAGGGGGCAGCTGAGCTACTGGCGCACGATGTACCACGGCGGCCCGCACGTGGACGGCGCGGACTACCCTGGCAAGAAGGAGTTGGCCCTGCAGGAGCAGGTGGCGCTCCACGCGAAGATCTCGGCGTCGGGGAGCGCTCGCGCGCAATCGCCCTCGCGCCAGGGGAGGGCCCCGCGGTGCTCCTCGAACGCCCGCCCACGGTGTGTTCGGAGGTGTTCGCGCGGGGCTTTCCGAGTTCGGCCCGCGGGCGCTTGCGGGCGCAGAGCCCTCGCAGGCTCTCCACGAGAAGAACGCGAAGCTCTTGCAGGAAAACAGCGGCCTGAAGCTGACGGCGCAGGCTTGCTACAGCTGCTCGGGGCGGAAGGAGCAAGACTTGGCCCGCGGCCGAGGTCGGCGGCGCGCGGCCGGGGGCGGCCCGGAGGGCGGCCTTCGAAGGAGACAGGGGGGCCATCTGCGGAGACAGCGGATGCCTGGCAGGAGGCTTCAGAGGAGCGATTCCTGAGGGAGGGGGGGTCCTGTTTCCTTCGAGGGCCGCCGACGCGCTCGGCTCCCCCCCCGCGCGCCGCCGAAGAGGTGGCGGCGGCAAGGGGCGGGGCAAGCACGGCAGCGCGGCCTCCAACGCGGGCGGCGCGCCTAGCTGCGGCCGCTAGGGCGGGGGCGGGAAGGCAGACTGCAGCCCGCTCGGCCAGGGCAACCTGCTCGGCGCGGCCGCGAAAGGCAGGGGGGGCGCGGCCTGAGCGGGCCCCAGCAACTCCAGACCGCGCCCGCAACACCGGAGAGGCACCCGAAAGGGCACCTGAAAGCACCCGACAGGCACCAAAAAACAAACGAAACTCATTGCAGCGCACGAAATCTTTCGATCGGCACCCAGAAAAGAGCCCGACATACGCCCGAAGGCACGTGCAATGCCCCCGCGGTGCACCCTAAGGCACCCGAAGCGCTGTTCCCGCCCTTCGGGGGTGCTTTGCGGGTGCCCTGCGGGTGGTGGGTGCCCTTCGGGTGCTCTGCGGGTGGTGGGTGCCCTGCGGGTGCTCTGCGGGTGCCCTACGGGTGGTGGGTGCCCTTCGTTTGCCGTGCTGGTGCCTTCGTGGAGCTCATCTGGGGGTGCCGGTTTGGGGGGAATGCTGGGCGGGTGCCTTGCGGGTGCCCTGCGGGTGCCCTGCGGGTGGTGGGCGTCCTTCGGGTGCCCTGCGGGTGCCCTGCGGGTGCCCTGCGGCTGCCTTGCGGGTGCCCTGCGGGTGGTGGGTGCCCTGCGGGTGCCCTGCGGGTGGTGGGTGCCCTGCGGGTGCCCTGCGGGTGCTCTGCGGGTGCCCTGCGGGTGCCATGCGGGTGGTGGGTGCTCTTCGGGTGTCCTGCGGGCGCTCTGCGGGTGGTGGGTGCCTTTCGGGTGCCCTGCGCGTGGTGGGTGCCCTTCGGGGGTCCTTCGGGTGCCCTGTGGGTGCCCTGCGGGTGGTGGGTGCCCTTCGGGTGCCCTGCGCGTGGTGGGTGCCCTTCGGGGACACTGCGGGTGCCCTGCGCGTGGCGGGTGGTGGGTGCCCTTCGGGTGCCCTGCGGGTGGTGGGTGCCTTGCGGGTGCCCTGCGGGTACCCGGCGGGTGCCCTGCGGGTGCCCTGCGGGTGGTGGGTGCCCTTCTGGTGCCCTGCGGGTGGTGGGCACCCTTCGGGTGCCCTGCGGGTGCCCTGCGGGCGTTGGGGTGCCCTTCGGGGTGCCTGCGGGTGGTGGGTGCCCTACGGGGTGCCCTTAGGTGCGCTGCGTGCGCTGCGGGTGCCCTGCGGGTGGTGGGTGCTCTTTGGGTGCCCTGCGGGTGGTGGGTGCCATTCGGGTGCCCTGCGGGTGCCATGCGGGTGGTGGGTGTCCTTCGGGTGCCCTTCGGGTGCCTTTCGGATGCCCTGCGGGTGGTGGGTGCCCTTCGGGTGCCCTGCGGGTGGTGGATGCCCTCCGGGTGTCCTGCGGGCGCTCTGCGGGTGGTGGGTGCCTTTCGGGTGCCCTGCGGGTGGTGGGTGCCCTTCGGGTGCCCCTGCGGGTGGTGGGTGCCCTTCGGGCGCCCTGCGTCGCGCGCCTGGCGCGCAAGTTCTGGGCGCCTTCGGGTGCTTGTCGGGCGCCTTCCGGGTGCCTTCGGGTGCTTCGCGGGTGCCCGTCGGGCGTTTCGAATGCATTCCGGTGTGCCTAGGGTGCGTTGCGATGCCCTGCGGTCGCCTTCGTGTTCTTTGGAGCGTTTTTCGCGCGCTTTCGCGCCCCCTTCGTCGTGCATTTCGGGCTCCGTGGAGGTTCCCGCCTGGTCAGGTATGGCGCCCGGCGAGCACTCTTTAAGTGTTTCTGGGGCCCTTCGGGCGCCGTTTGGGTGCCTTGGCGTGCTCTTCGGGTTCCCTCGTGTGTTCTTCGGATTCCTGCGGGAGCCTTGCGGTGGTCCGACGAGCCTTCGGTGCTCGAAGAAACGACGCGGATGCATACATGCTAGTATGACAGCGTGTGCGGTTCGCCTTCCCTCGGGTGCCCTGCGGGTGCTTTCGGGTAAATTCACGTGGCATGGGGTGCTCAGAGCGAAAGCCTCGCCTTGACACGAGGCGGAGGAAGAGGAGGAGGAGGAGGAGGAAGAGGAGAGGGAGGAAAAGGAGACGAAGGAGGACGAGGAAGCGGAGGAGGAGAAGGGTGGGGAAGAGGAGATTTTCAAACAGGGTGGTGCCCTTCGGGTGCCCTGCGGGTGGTGGGTGTTCTTCGGGTGCCCTCCGGGTGCCCTGCGGGTGGTGGGTGCCCTTCGGGGGTGCCCTGCGGGTGGTGGATGCCCTCCGGGTGCCCTGCGGGTGCCCTGCGGGTGGTGGGCGCCCTTCGGGTGCCCTGCGGGTGGTGGGTGCCCTGCGGGTGGTGGGTCCCCTGCGGGTGTCCTGCGGGTGGTGGGTGCCCTTCGGGTGCCCTGCCAGTGGTGGGTGGCCTTCGGGTGCCCTGTGGGTGTCCTGCGGGTGCCCTGCGGGTGGTGGGTGCCCTTCGTGCCCTGCGGTGGTGGGTGCCCTTCGGTGCTCCTGCGGGTTGGTGGGATGCCCTTCGGGTTTCCTGCGGGTGCCCTGCGTCGTGCCCTGCGGGAGGCCTGCGGGTGGTGGGTGCCCTTCGGGGGTGCCCTGCGGGTGGTGGTTGCCCTTTTGGTGCCCTGCGAGTGGTGGGTGCCCTTCGGGTGCCCTGTGGGTGCTCTGCGGGTGCCCTGCGGGTGCCCTGCGGGTGCCCTTCGGGTGCCCTGCGGGTGGTGGGTTCCCTTCGGGGGTGCCCTGCGGGTGCTCTGCGGGTGCCCTGCGGGTGGCCTGCGGGTGGTGCGTGCCCTTCGGGTGCCATGCGGGTGGTGGGTGCCCTTCGGGTGCCTTGCGGGTGCTCTGCGGGTGCCCTGCGGGTGGTGGGTGCCCTTCGTTTGCCCAGCTGGTGCCTTCGTGGGGCTCATCTGGGGGTGCCGGTTTGGGGGGAATGCTGGGCGGGTTCCTTGCGGGTGCCTTGCGGGTGCCCTGCGGGTGGTGGGCGTCGTTCGGGTGCCCTGCGGGTGCTCTGCGGCTGTCCTGCGGGTGCCCTGCGGGTGGTGGGCGCCCTTCGGGTGCCCTGCGGGTGGTGGGTGCCCTTCGGGTGCCATGCGGGTGCCCTGCGGGTGGTGGGTGCCCTGCGGGTGGTGGGTGCCCGGCGCGTGCCCTGCGGGTGGTGAGTGCCCTTCGGGTGATCTGCGGGTGCCCTGCGGGTGGTGGGTGCCCTTCGGGTTCCCTGCGAGTGGTGGGTGCCCTTCGGGGGCCCTGTGGGTGCTCTGCGGGTGCCCTGCGGGTGGTGGGTACTCTTCGGATGCCCTGCGGGTGGTGGATGCCCTTCGGGTGCCCTGCTGGTGCCCTGCGGGTGCCTTGCGGGTGGTGGGTGCCTTTCGGGTGCCCTGCGGATGGTGGCTGCCCTTCGGGTGCCCTGCGGGTGCCATGCGGGTGGTGGGTGCCCTTCGGGTGCCCTTCGGGTGCCCTGCGGGTGGTGGGTGCCCTTCGGGTGCCCTGCGAGGGTGCCCTGTGGGTGCCGTGCGGGTGCTCTGCGGGTGGTGGGTTCCCTTCGGGTCCCCTGCGGGTGGTGGGTGCCCTTCGGGTGCCCTGCGGGTGCCTTGCGGGTGCCCTGCGGGTGGTGGGTGCCCTTCGGGTGCCCTGCGGGTGTTTTGCGGGTGCCCTGCGGGTCGTGGGCGCCCTTCGGGTGCCCTGCGGGTGCGTTGCGGGTGCCCTGCGGGTGGTGGGTGCCCTTCGGGTGCCCTGCGGGTGTTCTGCGGGTGCCCTGCGGGTGGTGCGTACCCTTCGGGTGCCCTGCGGGTGATGGGTTCTCTTCGGGTGCCATGCAGGTGCTTTGCGGGTGGTGGGTGCCCTTCGGGTGCCCTGCGGGTGCCTTCGTGTATGGTCGCATGCTTTTCGGACTCCTTCGCGTGCCATTCGCCGTTGGCTGTGAGTGGCTTTCAGTTTCCCGTCCAGTGAGGTCGCGTGCCTGGCACGCAAGCTCTGGGCGCCTTCGGGTGCTTGTGGGGCGCCTTCTGGGTGCCCTCGGGGTGCTTCGCGGGTGCCCGTCGGGCGTTTCGAGTGCATTCCGGTGTGCCTAGGGTGCGTCGCGATGCCCTGGGGGCGCCTTCGTGTTCTTTGGAGCGCTTTTCGCGCGCTTTCGCGCCCCCTTCGTCGTGCATTTCGGGCTCCGTGAAGGTTCCCGCCTGGTCAGGTATGGCGCCCGGAAAGCACTCTTTAAGTGCTTCCGGTGCCCTTCGGGCGCCGTTTGGGTGCTTTGGCGTGCTCTTCGGGTTCCCTCGTGTGCTCTCCGGGTTCCTGCGGGAGCCTTGTGGTGGTCCGACGAGCCTTCGGCGCCCGAAGAAACAACGCGGATGCATGCTAGTATCACAGCGTGTGCGGTTCGCCGTCTTCGGGTGCGCTGCGGGTGCTTTCGGGTACATTCGCGTGGCATGGGGTGCTCAGAGCGAAAGCCTCAGTTGAAAAGGAGGCGGAGGAAGAGGAGGAGGAGGAGGAGGAGGAGGAGGAGGAGGAGGAGGAGGAGGAGGAGGAGGAGGAGGTGGAGGAGGAGGAGGAAGAGGAGAGGGAGAAAGAGGAGACGGGGGAGGACGAGAGGGGCGGAGGAGGAGGGTGGGGAAGAGGAGATTTTCAAACAGGGTGGTGCCCTTCGGGTGCCCTGCGGGTGGTGGGTGCCCTTCGGGTGCCCTGCGGGTGGTGGGTGCCCTTCGGGTGCCCTACGGGTGCCCTGCGGGTGGTGGGTGCCCTTCGGGTGCCCTGCGGATGGTGGGTGCGCTGGATGCCCTGCGGGTGCCCTGCGGGTGCCCTGCGGGTGGTGGGTGCCCTTCGGGTGCCCTGCGGGTCGTGGGCGCCCTTCGGGTGCCCTGCGGGTGCCCTGCGGGCGCTGGGTGCCCTTCGGGTGCCCTGCGGGTGGTGGGTGCCCTTCGGGTGCGCTGCGGGTGCGCTGCGGGTGCCCTGCGGGTGGTGGGTCCTTTGGGTGCCTTGCGGGTGGTGGGTGCCCTTCGGGTGCCCTGCGGGTGCCCTGCGGATGCCCTGCAGGTGGTGGTGGGTGCTCTTCGGGTGCCTTGCGGGTGGTGGATGCCCTTCGGGTGCCCTGCGGGTGCCCTGCGGGTGCCCTGCGGGTGGTGGGTCCTTCAGATCCACATGGGGGTGGCGGAGACGGGGGGGGCGATCAAACCGCCGCTGAGTGAGCCAAGGGGTGTTCAAAACACAACCAAACACGCTCAAAACACAACCAAACGCACGCGGCTGCACAACAATGCGCAACGCCCATGGATGCCGCTATGGGGGAGGGCCGCCACGCGAGACCACTTCGACGCAGCGGGTCTGTAGAATGAGCGCTTTGCAACAATATTTCGGTGTAATCACACAACAGCGTGACAGATATAGCGACGCAGAGGTTTCGTACATTTACACAAGCGAACCGCCGCAAGAAGCCTGATCGGACCCCTTGGCGCCATCCCCAAGTCCACTGCGCCTTCAAGCATAAACCAGTTGCAAAATGACGGCAGCAACGCATCGTTCCTGCAACGCACAACGTACCACAAATCCAGATCATCATTATTTCGGCATGTGCATCTGTATTTGCACATGCACATGTGCATATGTTTGTGCGTTTGCACTTTGCAAGCCCCCCGGAGGACGAGCCCCCCGAGGCATCCAAAGGCTTCCAGACATCCCCGACGGCCCCCGAAGAGCCCAAGCAGACACCAGGGAGCACAGAGGGTCTCCGAGGGCTGCCATGGACCTCCGAGGATCGCATGGGGGATTCCCGGAGACCACCGAAAGCCGCCAGAGGCAGCCGAAGCCCCCCAAAACCCACCGGCCCCCAAGACGATCACCAGGACCGCGAGCCCTGGCGGCTTCCAAGGGCCCCGAGGACCCTGGAAAGGCTCGGGGCTTCCGAGAGCCTCCAGGGGCGGCCGACAACCTGCAGAGGCTTCGGACATACGCCGAAGACCTCGCATGACTGCCAAGGACTCCAGGGACGGCCCTAGGAGGGGCGCTGGAGGCCTCCGACGGGGCCACGCCGAAGGGCTTCCCACCGGCGCTTCGGGGAGCCCGCCCTCCCCCGAGCAGCGGGCCCAGGGGGCAAGAGGAGCGGGCGCCGGCCAACCGCCGCCGCGACGACGACGACGACGGGGAGGGGGGGGGAGAGGGACGGAGGGAGGGAAGGGGGGAGGCAGGAAGGGAAGGGGAGGGAAGGTGGGAGCGATGCAGGGAGGGATGGAGAGTCAAGGCGGGGGGGGAGAGGATGGAGTCAAGGCAGGGAGGGAGAGGGTGGACGGGGGCCCTGTCCTCGATTACCTCGAGAGGCAAGGAAGCGGGTCGGGGAGCCGAGGGCATTCCCAGGGACGTCGCGAAAATGTCTTTTGAGAGAGCAACGGCCCATCAAGATGCTGTTGTGTAGTAGCGCTTTCTCATGGTAAGCTATATTGAGAGGAATTGAGAAAATTTGAGAGATTTTGAGAGGAATTGAAAGAAATTGAGAGAAATTGAGATATAATATCCCGGGGACGACCCAACTTGAGAGAAATTGAGACAGAAAGGTTCGCTTGGTGAGAAACTTTGAGACAAATTGAGACAACTAGTGCCGTCTGGTTCAGGACAATTGAGACCGCGTAGCCTGTCTTGGCGAAGGCAGCTGAGCGCGTTCGATGGCAAACCGCATCGGAGATCCTCACGGGACCGCGGCCGCGCAGTGGCACCCGGACGCCATCCTCGCTTCTATTCCCTCCTCCTCTTCCCTCCTCCGCTGTCCACTCCTTCCTCCTCGCCCCCCATCCTTCCCCCCCCTCCCTCCTCCCCCCCGCCCCCCTCCTCCTCCCTCCTCCTCGCTCCCCCTGCCTCCCCCCGCCCCCTGGGCAACGACGACAGCAGTAAGAGGCGATGCGCTTTGAACGCGAGGTGCAGCGATGACCCCGGCCTGCCCGGGCAGGGGCTTGGGGGGGGGCAACGGGGCGGGGAGGGGCGTGCGATGGGGCCTCGGACAGGGGGCCAAAGTACTCTCGTGAAAGGGCCCGCTAGCATGCACCCGTCCCGCACCAGTCGCGAACACCAGAAACGTGAAGATAGCGGGGGCGGCGTCTAAACGAGCAGCAGGGTCAAACCATGCGCCCCCGCGATGTTGTCTCATTACATCGCGTGCCATTCTAGCTACGAGGATGCAGACGCGGCCTTGCTCAGAGAACGCGTCGTCTAGAGTGCGATGGGCCTTGACCTGGGATCATGAAATCCGGGGCCCCGGCGCGACGCGGCCCCGCGCCCTCCAGTAGTGGCTGCAGAAGGTGGCGCCCTTCAAGATTTAGGCGCGCTGCGCGACTCCTCGGAAATGAGCCATGCAATCCACTGCCAATTCTAAGGATCATTCGAGAGCGCGACCTTAATGGCGCATCACTTCGCGCGAGGACAAGGGCCATGCCAGACGACCGCTCCTGAACGCTAGTGCGCGCGCGCCCCAAACCTGTTCGCCTCGCCCGAGCACGAAGCCGGCCGTCACGAAGCCCGTCCAATCACCAAACTGCAACATGGGCACCGCGACGGTGAAAAACTCGCGCGCAATGGGCACCCTCCGAGGAAGATAAAGACCATCTCGCGCCGGACGGCGCGCTCAACTTTCGCCCCCCCCCGTCGACGCCACCCCCATGTGGATCTGCATGAGTGGGTGTCCTTCGGGTGCCTTTCGGGTGCCCTGCGGGTGGTGGGTGCCCTTTGGGTGCCTTGCGGGTGGTGGATGCCCTTCGGGTGGCCTGCGGGTGCCCTGCGGGTGGTGGGTGTCCTTCGGGTGCGTTTCGGGTACCCTGCGGGTGGTGGGTGCCCTTCGGGTGCCCTGCGGGTGGTGGATGCCCTCCGGGTGCCCTTCGGGTGCCCTGCGAGTGGTGGATGCCCTTCGGGTGCCTTGCGGGTGGTGGGTGCCCTTCGGGTGCCCTGCGGGTGGTGGGTGCCCTTCGGGCGCCCTGCGGGTGGTGGGTGCCCTTCGGGCACCCGCTCCGGGTGCCCTGCGGGTGCCCTGCGGGTGGTGGGTGCCCTTCGGGTGCCCTGCGGGTGCCCTGCGGGTGGTGGGTGCCCTTCGGTGCCCTTCGGGTGCCCTGCGGGTGGTGGGTGCCCTTCGGGTGCGCTGCGGGTGCCCTGCGGGTGGTGGGTGCCCTGCGGGTGCCCTGCGGGTGGTGGGTGCCCTGCGGGATGCCCTGCGGGTGGTGGATGCCCTTCGGGTGGCCTGCGGGTGCCCTGCAAGTGGTGGGTGTTCTTCGGGTGCCCTGCGAGTGGTGGGTGCCCTGCGGGTGCCTTGCTGGTGCCCTGCGGGTGCCCCGCGGGTGGCGGGTGCCCTTCGGGTGCCCTGCGGGTGGTGGGTGCCCTTCAAGTGCCCTGCGGGTATTCTGCGGGTGCCCTGCGGGTGGTGGGTGCCCTTCGGGTGTTTTCGAAACGCCCTCGAGTGTCTTTCTGGTATCTTCGGGTGCCCTGCAAGTGCTACCCGGGTGCTGGGTGCCTTCAGGGTGCCTTCGGGTGCTCACGGGTGCCCTTCGGGTGCTTACGCGTCCCCCCTCGGTGCCTTCGGGTGCCTTCGGGGGTCCTCAAGGCGCTGGGTGCTCTCAGGGTGCCTTCGGGTGCCTTCGGGTGCTCACGGGTGCCCCTCTCGGTTCTTCAGGCGCCCTGGAGGTCTCTCGAAGGTTGTGGAGGTTTGGCTTGGGGGAGGCTGGGAAGCAGGGAGGCCGGGAGGGTGGGGCGCTGGAAGCTTGGGAACCTGGGAGGCTGGGGATTGGGAGGCTGGGGGGGGGGGCTGGGAGGTTGGGTGCAGCTCTTGTGTATATATATATATATATATATATATATCAAATTAGTTATCTAATTATCTATCTATCTATCTATATATCTATCTATCTATCTATCTATCTATATATATATGTATATATCTATATATCTATCTATCTATATATATATATCGAACTATCTGTGTATATATATGTATATATCTTTCGATATATATATATATCGTTATATCCACCATATTATCCATTTATATTATGTCGATATATCTATATATCGATCGATATATCTATCTATACATTCCGATACCAGTATAGATCTAATTATCTACATATATATGTTACGTATATATATGTATCGATATATCTATCGATTTATCTATCTATATATCTCTCCCTATATATATGTATGTATCTGTCGAATTACATATATACCTATGTATGTGTATGTATTAATCATGATCTGTATATCGATCAATCTATATAATTGCATTTATAATTGTGCATCTAACTATATATCGAAGTATATATCGATATAGCTATCTATCTTTCTATATATCCATCTATCGCTCTATCTATATAATTTCATATCTATATGTCTATCAATCTATATAATTAGTGTCTATAGAATTGTCGATGTACGTATATATCTATATATCTAATTTCCTAAATCTATCGCCTTTGACATCCTCGCGACTCTGACCTTCGAGGCACCCTGCTGCCCATGGTAGTCCAGCCACCTTAGCCTGAGACATCCTCGCAACTCTGGGTTCCGAGGTGCCCTGAGCTGGGGTGGTCAGGCACGTTCGCCTGAGACATCCTCGCAACTCTTTCCTCGGAGATGCGCTGCCCCATGGGGGCCGGTGCTGTTGAGTACTCAACAGCACCGGCCCCCATGCCCCTCGGTACTCAACAGGCCCCGCCTCCAAGAGAGCACCCAGTACTCCACAGCCTCCGATACCAGAGTTGCCCCTTCGAAGTTGTATTAAACGAGAAGTCCGCCTCCAAGAGAGCGCCCGGTACGCAACAGGCTCCGTCTCCAAGAGGACGCCCAGTACTCAACAGGCCCCATCTCCAAGTCAGCACTCGGTACTCAACAGGCCCCGCCTCCAAGAGTGCACCCAGTATTCCACGGCCACCGATACCAGAGAGGCCCCTTCGAAGTTGTATTAAAAAATAAACCCGGCTCCAAGAGAGCACCCAGTACTCGACAGGCCCCGTCTCCAAGAGAGCACCCAGTACTCAACAGGCCCCGTCTCCAAGACATCACTCGGTACTCAACAGGCCCCGCCTCCAAGAGAGCACCCAGTACTCCACAGCTTCCGATATCAGAGAGGCCCCTGCGAAGTTGCATAACAAAAGAAAATCGCCTCCAAGAGAGCACCCAGTACGCAACAGGCTCCGTCTCCAAGAGGGCGCCCAGTACTCAACAGGCCCCATCTTGAAGACAGCACTCGGTACTCAATAGGCCCCGCCTCCAAGAGAGCGCCCAGTACTCGACAGCCTCCGGTACCAGCGATGCCAGGAGGGAGGGGGATGGGGAGGGACAGGAGGAGGAGGAGGAGGAGGAGGAGGAGGAGGAGGAGGAGGAGGTGGAGGAGGCTGGGGAGGGGGGAGCAGGAAGAGGAGGAGGAAGAGGATGAGGAAGAGGAGGAGGAAGAAAGGATGAGGAGGTCGGGGGGGGGAGGAGGAAGCGGAGGAGGGGGAGGATGAGGGGGATGAGGAGGCGTGGTGGTGTTGCATGTGTGGCGTGGTGCGGTGGTGCTTCAGGGAGCGCGCGGGCGCCCGCCCGCCCGACTCGCCGCCCGCCCGTTGGGGCCCCGCCCGCCGCCCGACTCGCACGCCCGTTAGGGTCTCTCGCCCGACCCGACCCGCCCGTTAGGGTACGCACGTGCCAACTCGATGATGCATCATACTTTAATGTCCCACCCGCCCGACCCGACCCGCCTGTTAGGGCACGCGCGTGCCATTTCGATGGGGCATCATAATTTAATGTCCTGCCCGCCCGACCCGACCCGCCCGTCAGGGTGCGCACGTGCCAACTCGATTATGCATCATATTTTATTGTCCCACCCGATCGACCCGACCCGCGCGTTAGGGTACGCACGCGCCAGCTCGATGATTCATCATACTTTAACGTATCGCCCGACCCGACCCGCCCGTTAGGGTATGCCTGTGTGGTACCCCGCCGGCTTGATACCCCCCCGGGGCCCCCATTACCCAGCCAGCGGCCGCCGGCTTCGTACCCTCGCAGGCTTGGTACCCCCACATGGGATCCCCCCTGCCAAGCCAGCGGCCGCCGGCTTGGTACCCCGCCGGCTTGGTACCCCTCTCGTCCCCAAGGGCTCCCCCCTACCAAGCCAGCGGCCGCCGGCTTGGTACCCCGCCGGCTTGGTACCCCCGCAGGGGGCTGGGGCTCCCCCCTACCGAGCCAGCGGCCGCCGGCTTGGTCCCCTCCCCCAGGGGCCCCCCCCTACCAAGCCAGCGGCTGCCGGTTGGGTGCCCCCCCAGGATGCGCAGGATCTCACACCACCCCTTTCCAACCAACGGCCGCCGCCTGTACCACCCCGGGCTGCGTACCCCCCCCAAGCGCTCCTCCCTACCAACCAGCGGCCGCCGCCTTGGTACCAGAGCTCGCCGGCTTGGTCAACCCCCCCAGGGGCCCTCCCCTACCAAGCCAGCGGCCGCCGGCTTGTACCCCCTCCCCCCCCCCCCCAGGGCACTCCCCCTACCAAGCCCAGCGGCCGCCGGCTTGGTACTGCCGCCGGCTTGGTACCACACCCGCAAGGGCTCCCCCCCCCTATCAAGCCAGCGGCCGCCGGCCTGGTATCCCCCCCGGGTTTCCCCCCTACCAAGCCAGCGGCCGCCGGCTTGGTACCCCGCCGGCTTGGTACCCCCCCAGGGCCACAGAAGGAGCCGTGAAATGGGCGCGGGACTTCGCCCCTCGGGATGAGCCACGTAGGCCCGGCTCCAAGGTGCTGACCGACGCCAGGGCCGCTGACCTCTTCAATCGCGCCTTGAGAGAGCCCCCTAGGCGCCGGGCCCGCTACTTCGGGCGCGTAGTTTACGTTGCGGCCTGGACGCAGCTCCACGGGCACGTGGTGAGCTCCTGGCTCTCCACAACCAGCCACGAGCGTAGGTGGGCTCAAACAGACGGTGCGGAATGGTCCCTTCTCGGGCACTGCGCCTCCTTCACCGAGGCGCACCGCGTCCTCCGCGTTCTGGCCAACGGACTACCCGGATCCGCGCGTAGACGAAGCGTCGCTGACAGGATCCCCCACCAGTGCGGCTGCGGCAGGATGGCCAATAGAGTCTGGCTCACCGCTGGACAACGGGATCGCGGTCAGGCCTGGTGCGACTCGTGCCTCGGGCCCTGGACCAGAGAGGCCTCCCTCTGGCCCCTCCTTGGCGACGACGCTTTGCCCGAGGACTTGCGTCCACTTGCTGCGGAGAGAAGAGGGCAACTCGGGCACATCACCGTTCCCATACGGCAAGGACTCTACGGAGCCTGCCCTCTCTGCGGCCTGGGAGAAGCCACTACTGAGCACGTGTGGGGTTGGTGCCCCGCCGCCGCCCTCGCCTGGCAAAAGACCAAAGGCCCTGACCACCCCAGAGACCTTCCCACCGCGATATGCTCCAGGGGGCAGCACCAGAGACTGGTCTGCCGCCTTCTACACCAGATCTCCTTTAGATACTGTGTGAACCTGGACTGTGCCCCCATCGGAGCCGTCGAAGCCGCCAGAATCATTGTCCAGGGGATCTCCGTCCCAGACACCGACCTCCAGGAAGACAATGAGGAGGAATAATAAATACAAGAAGGGCAGGCCCCTGCTGCACCGGCGGACGAAACTGCAGTCTGGGCCCCCATGCTGCTCCCCTGTCAACTTTGCAATCCCCAAGGCCCGCACCTGCTGCGCATTCAGGGGGCCGCTGGTCCGCGTCTCGGCAGACAAGCTCCACGCGCTGGAGGGGAAATCCGGCGCCTCCCTGTCACGACCAGAATCGTGCGGAGTGGGGATCGTCTCGCCGTTCTCCAAACGGGCGACGCCAGAGCGAGTTGGATGCCGCCTGGGTTGGGCTGGTTTCCCTGCCCCAGGACAGACAGGTCCCCCAGTGCCCTCTGGACCAAGAGCTACTGCCGACTCTGCGACCTGCATACCCTGGTGCTCAGAGCCAGCAGGGACATGGAAGCTGGCGAAGAGATCACCGTCAGAGACTCCCCGCTCCCCGCTGCCGATGCGGCCCAATGGCCCTTTGAGCTCACCTTCGACGGGGGGGCTCGCCGAATTGGGGGAGACGACAAGGTCTCCTGGGCGGCAGCTGTCCTCTGGAAACACGACCCGCACCGCGGCTACCCGCGCGTCGTCGCGGTTACCGTTGTTGCCCTCCCGGGCTGCGACAATGCACAGACGGCGGAGGCATCTGGGTGCAGAGCGGGACTCGCCCTGCTCCCCCACCTTGACACCGCCCTCCGAGGTGTCCGCGTGGTCGGCGACAATCTTGCCGCCATCCGGTACGGAGCTGGCACGGGCCGCTATCGCCGGCTCCACCTGGCACAGCAGATGGACTTCGCCCTTCGGCAAGCCAGCGAAGCAGGATGGACACTTACATGGCAGGCCGTGCGTCGTCGCCTCAACAAAGCAGCTGACCGTCTTGCCACACTAGGTGTCTTCTGGACCGATGCCCTTCGTCGCGCCGGCGATCTAGCCGTCACTTTCTGGGTCTTCTGGGAGGGCTCCCAGCTGCCCCCCCCCCCCCCTGTTTCCCGCCGCGGACGTCGACCTCTGTGACTTGGACCAAGTTGCGCTGTTTGTTGATGCCCTCGAAAATCCCCCCCCTCCTCCCTCTCTGATCGCCCCCCCGCCGCGACGCACTAAGGTCCTGACGGGTCGCGGCGTCGCTGCCATCACAAGAAGCGCAGCCTTCCGCTGCCATCCTGGACAGGTTCCCACCCTGGACAATGCCCAAAAACAGCCAGGGCCCCCTCCGCCGTTGGCCCTCCTGCCTACCGTACAGTGACGAAGGGCCGCCAATGCGCGCGGGCACGCGCGTCTTCCTGGCCCGCTTCTGTCCCTGGATGCCTTGGGTCTACTTCCACGGCGGTTGGCGACGCTGGTGCGAGATCTGCCAGGGGCCCGTCGACGACACTGAACACATCCTGAGCGCGAAGCACTGCGACATGTCGGTGGCACGGTACTAGGATGGGTGGCCAGACCCGAACACTTTCACCACTCCTGGGAATCTTTGGTGCATGTTCGGAGGGGACCCCTACGACGCTACCCACCAGGTGTCTGTCACGCGGTTGGCCTGGCGCGGCTGGAAACCAGCCCAGCCCTTGGTTACCCGCGACGGGGTGCGCTCGCTACCTGGCATCGCAATCCCCGAGGATGCGCTGCACATGCCCGTTACCTACCCCCTCTGGGACGATCCGTCGACATACAACTGCCCAGGAGGCACCAGGGTGGAGCCGGAGAAGGTTCGTTCGCACATGATGGGCAGGCTGGGCGCCGCAAGGGAGGGCCTCAGACAGCCCGAGGACGGCGACGGGAACAGGATGCGGGCGAAATCGTCCATCTGGCTACCCCCCTCACCTGGACAGGCCGCAGGCTCCTCTGGGGTACCTCCCCCTCCGCCCCCGCCGTCTCACCCTCCTCCTGCCTGGGGCCCACCCTGCCAGCAGCGAACAGTCCAGCTGGCCGAGGGCAGTGAGACGGAGATTGAAGCTCTCTCTCCGACAAGTCCAGCTGCCCTGGAAGATTCACTGGCCACGCAGGCAGCCTCAGATGTCGCCAACCTGTACTCGTTTCCGCTGGACTCCCCGCACTCTAGAGTCCACCCCAAGGCAGCGCTCGGGGAACTAATCAATGCCGTCCGACTCCCCTCACAATGGCCCTACTCCCTCCAGGACCGAGGGCAAACGTTAAGGAGGATCGCCTGGGTCGAAAGCCAAGCCTCGGTCGAGACGGTAGACGACGGCAGAGGCTCCACGCGAGAGGATTTAGCCAGAAGGGGTAACTGTGCCCTCGGAGTTCGCGTCACCAGGATCGATGCCAATACGCGCTTGGAGGACCTGGACACCTTTCGGCTGCGGAACGCCATGCACCTACCCGTCGGTAAGGAATTTCTGTTGTTAGAGTGGCCCTCAATGTGCAAGGTCGCGACCAGACCCCTGGAACGTGACAAAGAGAGCAGGTGGCTTTACATTTCAGTCACGGGCCCGACGGTAGACAAGATCGCTGACGTCTCAGTCTGGTGGCCTCCCGCCCTGGGCGGTCACACCCATCCCAGGGATGCTCAAACGCTAGGTCTCAGCCCTTCCGGCAGGTACCCCTCAAACTGGTGCATCGTCGTCTACAACCACGGGAAGAGCGGGCAGTTTCACGAAGACGAAACCAAGGCGAGACGCCCCCCCCTAGCGACGATCTCCCCTGGTATCGTGTAGATGAAGCCCCTTCTGACATCCAGTTTTGGCGGCAATGCTCGGCACTGGACCAGATCTACTGCATGCGCCAAAACCCAGCGGATCTCTTCGGCCACCAGCTTTCATCTCTGACGTACCTTCTTGCCTTTGTTCACGCCCCTCGGTCGGATCGAACCGTGGCCGAACGGCGATGCGACCAGTGCCCTGCGTGCCACCCTGAACCACCATGCTGTTTTAGTGCACGGACCCCCTGGAACTGGCAAGACCACCTTCTCAGTTGCCTGCCTGGACATGTGGGGTTCCTGCTTGCGCCCTGGACACGCTGTCGCTTTGGCAGCAGGGTCCAACACGGCGGTCGACCAACCAGCTCTGGCAATGATCGAGGCACAACGTCATCGGCGCCTCGACCAAGACACGGGCTTCCCCGACAAGTTCGTGCGCCTGGCAAGGAAGGACTGGGTCAACGAGGCACTTGTTGACCTTACTCCCGAAGGTCACTACAGAAACGCCCACGGCGAGTTCCCCTTCCAGGACGGGGACAAGAACCAGGGCTTCAAGCCCTACAAGGCGAGCTTACTACGTCAGGCCAGGATAATCATGTCCACGCACGAGGCGTCAGAGGCACTTGGCCAAAAGGACAGCCCCCAAATCGTCCTCCTAGTCATCGACGAGGCCGGACAAGCCACTGAGCTCCACGCGCTCATGTCCATGGTAAATCTGATCAACAGCGGAGGGGCCGTGGTCCTCGTCGGAGACCCCAACCAGCTGCCCCCCACAGTGCTCTCCAAACTGGCGAACGAAGTAGGGCTCTGCGTCAGCATCTTCGACAGGATGTTCCACGCACTCCGCGGCCAGGAGTCTTCAGTAGTTCACCTTTCAATCTGCTATCGGATGCATCCGCAGCTACTCGCTTTCCCGAACGCAGCCTACTACGGGAAAGGCATGAAGTCTGGCATCCCGGATCCGCTCAGAGAGCGGCCAATAGTTGAGGGCATCCTCTGGAGAGACATTCGTGCGTGGGAACCTGGACGACTGGCAAAGCTGGCTACACTCACCGGTTCCGACGAAAGTGACCTCCGCGCCACCCTTGAGCCCCTGGACCCGCCGCTGGGCCCAGACAAGCACCGTTTCCCTCATGGTGCACACACCCTCCTGGGAGGTCACCTCCGAGCTAGAACCAGGCTTTGCCAATCTTCCAGAGGCGGCCCAAGCCGTGGATATTGTGCGCGCCCTGCTACCGGAGCTCCACAAGGGCACCGCTGTCAGAATCGTGGTCGGCTACCAGCTCCAGACGGCCATTCTCATGGGCGGATGGCCGCAGGGTCCTCGTCACCTCACCGGCGTTCTGCGTAACGCCAGAGGTGGCGCCAAAGGGCAGCCCGGCAAGGGGAAAGACGGTCCTGGACGCGTTGGTCAGGATATTCCTGGCCCTGGACAACCCCCCCAAGGCCACAGGGTGGACACTCACCGCTGGCAACAGGTGTTTCGGGAAGACGACAATGCTAACACTGCCATCAGCTCTAACTTCCCTGGACTGACTACGTCAGGTGGCGGGCGAGCACATGAGCACTGGGGCTCTCAAACTCACGACAATCGACTCCAGCCAGGGAGGCGAGGCGGACATCGTAATAGTGTTAACTACCCGGAGCAACTGCAGCTACAACTGGGGTTTCGTCGACGACGCCAAGCGCCTGAACGTGGCAATCACCAGGGCCAAGCAGAATATCCTGATCTTGGGAGACGGTCGCATGTTCGCCAACGCCACATGGTCGCAGGTTCGCGTGCTCTCAGAGTACGGGAGACTGACTCGCCTCTGGGTCCAGTTTCGAGGCAGCACCCCCGTGGGCCGCAGGCTCTCCCTGGACATTGACGACAGCTTCGACCCACTCCAGGACCTTGCCGCATGGATTCCCTCGCCCCCTGCCTGGGGCAGTGTCGCAAAGGGGGAGAACGGACAGAACGAGCTGGACGTCGCCAAGAAGAAAGCGCGCGATGCCCAGGCCACCTGCTTCGCCGAGCGGTTCAATGCACCCCTGGAAGAGAGCTTCGACTGGGACACCCTGGGCAAGCTAATCTCGGGAGGGCTCCACGATATCCTCTCGACGCCGGCCTTCCACGTGCTCATCTACCTTATGTCCGGGCTGCATCCTCGCGAGTTCACGTTGGCCAACACACCGCGGCAGCCGGGCATGCTCGACCGCGAGGCTTGGTCGCACCTGGGGTTCTTGTTTGACATGTCTCTCGGGCTCGACGCGACCAATCTAGTCTACAACACGCTGTGGGCAGCAATGGTCTGGTCGCTCGGCCTAGGCACCCCCTGGAGGGATGCGAACTACGCCATTCCCGACGACTCCCTTCCCCCGTTGCCTCACGCCAGCGGCAGGCGTGCAACGCTGTTGAAGCGCCGCCAGTGTACGCCCAAAGGACTCTTCCGTCAGGCCCCCAAGGCTTGGAGCTCCGCTACCAAGGACTGCTGCAGACGCCGGAAGCACCCTGGAATGACCGGGTTGGGAGACATCATCCGGGGGTGCGGCTCCTCGATGGAAGATTTCCGTCAGGGACTCTTAGGCGCCGACGGCCGGCCCATGGATTCCTGCAAGGCCCGCTCGCTTCTGGTGGTCATGATGCTGATGCTCCGTGAGCCGCGAGTGTTTCTATGGCCTTTCTCTCGCGCAGAGCAGGCCGGGGACGTCATTGAAGCCATTCTGGGGTTGTGCGTGCCCTAGCAAGAGGTCCATCAGGACTTCCGAAGCCGGTTCGCCAGCACCTGGAGCCTCACCCTGGAAGACTTGGCCGACCTGCACAGTCGCATCGAGGCAGTGCTACCACACATCTCCGAGCTCGTGGCGTTGGCCCATCACCACCCGGCTGCGCAGGAAGCCGGCTGCCCGCATACCTGGAGCGAGATGGACAGACAGGACTTCCAGCTGCAAGCGCCGATGATCGTTCTCGAACGGATCGTCCCGGCAGCAACTCTGACCTGCCTGGACACCGGCGACTGCTCAGTGTGTGCACTACGCGTCGCGCTGGCTGATTCCGACGCCTCCCTCGGTCCCGACGACAGGGTTGCGGGCCTTTCCTACATCGGCGGCGGACTTGCCTTGTCCCAGACCGACCTCAATGCCCCTCCACCACCGGCACCGGCCCCGGGCACCAGACTGGACCCTCCGTTCATCCCCGACGAAAGGCTCGCGCTTGAAAAGAAGAACAACAGATACACGTGCGACAGTTGCGGGAAAGACCACCTGACTGCCGCTGAAGGTACCTGGATCTCCGACAGCACGCGCCAGATGGTCTTTCAGAATAGACCTCAGGCGTACATCAACGGCGCCAACATGGGCTGGTACTGCGCTGGCTGCTGGATAATGAACCTCGAGGACAATGGCTTCCCTACGCCTGCCGGAACGAAGCTCACTGACATAATCAGGGAGCATGAGCAGCAGATATCGGGGACCGGGAACGACAGAGCGAGTGCCCTCCCTTCCCTGGGACTCCTTCCGCTCGGCTACGGCTGCAGCCCCCTGGCGGACACGAGGCAGTTAGATGACCTCCTCATGGAACCGACGGGCATGAAGATCCCCGATTGCGCCAATACCACCATTCCGGTCCTCCGAATCCGGGACGACCGCTTCGGCATCAAAGCCGCTCAAACGCGGACCTACTTCGCGCGGTGCGACACCTGCCCCCAGGGGGCCCCGCTCCTGGTCTGGGACCCCGGCTCTCCGCCGCTGGGGTGCTTCATATGGAAGCCGGCTGAAGACATAGGAGTTCCCGAGCAACATGGGCTGCCCCCCATCGATAAGCGTGCCCTGGCCTGGTGGGGGCGCCAATGGAACGCTACTTGGTGCTGCCGGCGCTGTCTGGTCCCGATTTGTAACATCGGCCCGGCCACCCTGGACCGCATCCTGGATCGCGACTTCAGGCCGCTGTATCCAGATGAACCTCCGGCCCTTCCCCCGCTCAGCAGCCAGATTGGGTTCGAGGCACCTGTGGACATCGTGGATTCCCTCCCGTGGCTTGGCGAGGACGCCAAGGCCCAGGACCAACTCACCAAGGTCGGAGCAAGCAATCCCCCTGGACCCAGCCCCACAGGCAGCTCTGGCGCGGCGCCAGAGATCACCTCCCTGGCAGGGTCCCCGCCATCTGGCGCGTGTTCTGGTGGCGGCGACAGGCCAGATACTCCCATGGCGGCCGACGCAGACAGGTCTCAGGGTTCAGCGGACGATTCGCGCATGGGCCACCATGACCCGCCCGACGACGACAGCGGTGAAGGCGCGGAAGATGGGCTCCCCCTCCACAAGATGGAGCCCGACTACGAAGAGGATGGACCCGCCCGTCCTCCCACGCCTTCCGAGTCGGCCCAGGAGGGTGACGATAATCGCTCAGTCGGCGATGGCCCGCAGCGTAGCCCGTCGGCGGGCAGCTCTGACACCAGCCGCGAGGATACCGCGACTTCGGTCGCAGAAGACACGCCCTACGCCGATCGCAGGAGGGCTCCAGCTCGAGACCCCACGAGGCACGAGAGGACCAGCGACGGTGGCGGCTCGCGGTGCGAGCGCTTTCCCGCGCCCGCCCCGACGCCCCCTGAGCGGAGGCCCCATTACTCTCGCCGTACTGGCTCTTCGGAGCAGGACGCACTCAACATGCTGTCCTGCCCTGATGGAGGCGGCCCAATGTACAAAGTCAGGCTGGGCACCGTCGAACTCGAACGTCCCGACGAGACACCAGCCAGTCGCATATCCAGGCTTCAGTCGCAGCTGGGAGCAGTCTTTTGCGCACTGTGGACAGCGAACGCGCAGCGCACCCTGCTCCCTGGATGGAGGGCGCCCAAGTCCGACCCGAAACTACACATGCCCTCGGATATCATCAACTTCCTAGAGGCCTGGAAGGACTGCGGGTACGACGCCTACGAGATGAACAGGAGGCTGGGCTATGATATCGACTGGAACAAGATACGAGCCAACTACCTGCGTCACTCCCAGACAGACGACTGGAGCAAAGGCGGCTATCGCCACACGGGCTGGCGCGACCGTGCGACAAGTTCCTGGGGCACCTGGAGCAGTTGGCAGGGCGAGTGGCGCGACGGATGGCGTGAGGATCACTGGCAGGCGGGTGGCAAGCGCGGCGGAGGTTACCCTGATGATCGGGATGTTCGAGAGGAAAAGAGACTCCGCTGGAGAGACTGAACTCCCTCTCTGCCCTCACCGCCCCCCAGTGCCCGCCCCACCACCTGCGCTTCACAACGCGCCACCGCGGCCCTCTGCCGCCCTTTCCTTCAACCTGGGGCAGCTCTGCCTCCCCTCCCCTGAGCGGCACCCTTTCTCACCCTTGGCCTTGGGGTGCCGTTCGGTAATGCCGTCTGCTCCGTGCGTGACACCGCGCATCCTGCAGACCACTTGCCACTGGCATCACTGCCTTTCTCCACCGGTGGCCGACGCCCTCTTGTCACTCGGCTCCTCTCTCCCCGCCTTGTTTCACTTCCTGAATCCCAGCGGGCGCTGCCCAGGCCGCGCCGCGGGCCCCTAATCGCGGCGCTCTGCCGCCCTCCACCCGATGCGCGCACCTCCTGCCTTTGGATCCAGGTGCGCGCTTCGGCAATGCCGTCCACCGCCTCTCCGCAGTGGACTCGCGGCCTCAGGCCCTACTGTAGTTGTCTCACCGCCAGGCCTTCCTGGCCTGTCAGTGGGCCACGGCTCGCCTGACCACTGGCTTCCCCCTGGACTTTCTAGCCGAACGATCGGCCTTCCGCCGTCACCCTGGACCTTTCAAACAAGAAGCACGGCCTTCCGCCGTCGCCCTGGATCCATTGGCTCTGAGGGACACGTCTCGGGTACAAGGCGTCCTCGTCCGTCTGTGCTAGACGACTCGGTTGGGTATCGCTGGGCCACCTTAGATGTGCATACTCCTCGGGGTCTGCCGTGTATCGTGCTCTTCTACGCCCTTCCACTCGTCGAATCTGGGCTGTCGCATCTCAGTTGTGGATGTTCTGTCTTGTCTTCGTGCTCCACACCCTGGATGCGCTTCTTGCGTTGCGACTGGCTCGCCGTCAGGTTTTTCCGTTGGTCCCTGTTCCCAGTCAGCCTGTGGTATCCTTCAGGCTCCATGGATCGGTGCCCTCTGGACTCCCATTGCTGGACGGCTTCCTGCCGCGACCCTGGATCAGTGGCTTTGTGGGACTTGCCTGGGTATACACGGTCTCGTTCCGCCTGTGCTCTCCTCTCCGTCTCTTTGGACTGCACTGTGACACTGTGGTGTGCACGCGCCGCGTTTCGACGGGTAGCGTGCATCAGGCGCCCTTCCACCCGCTGGGTCTGGTCCGAAACATCTCGGTGTGGTAATCTTCTCGGAACACGGATACACCTTGATGTCGTTCTGGCGCCGCGGTTCGCTGCCGCCGTCGGGATCCTCGTTGGACTTACCACCCCGTCGTCTTTGCTACCCGACAGGCTGGGGCTGACGTCCTCGGTTCGTTCCCTTGTCCGCACCTGGACGTTGGAACGTTATCGCGCCATTTTGGCTGCGCTAGGTCGTCTCGGTGCCTACCTCAGGCCTGTTGGACGCACCTGCATGCCCGTTCAGGGGCTCTCATGGCACCTGGATTGCATCGGCTTCGCCCCCCTGGACGCTGTCGTGAGCCGCCTGATCCGCGGCCCTGCGCGCGTTAGGTAATTTAGTCGCGTCCGCGGCCCGTTCGCGACCTTCCGCCGCTGGCGCTTCCGCCTGCGGCTGTAAAAAAAAGTATCCCCACCAACCCATCCTACACCAGGCACTCGAACGAAGAGCGCCGATGATCGGCAGCTGTTCTCCTCCCCTCTTCCTCCTTCTCCTCCGCCTTCTCCTCCTCCTCCTCTCCTCCTCCTCCTCCTCCTCCTCCTCCTCCTCCTCCTCCTCCGCCTCTTCCTCCTCCCTGGTGGCGTATTGGAAGTGTCTTCGAACGTTTTGGTGGGCTCTTGGGCCTTGCGGGCGGGCGGGCGGCGCTCCGCCCGCCCGCGCGCAGGGCCCAAGAGGGGGTCCAAGACGTCTCTCGGAGCCATCTTGGAGGAGATCGATCAACGAAGGGGGGTTCCTAAATTTCAGCCCCCCCCTCAGGAGCCACGATCCTCGTGAGGGGTGTCGAATTTTAGCCCTCCCAGGGGTCGATCTTGGACGCTCTGACCGATCGCGGCCCCCCCCTGTCCAGGTCAGTGGGGAGGGGGTAGGGGGAGGGGTAAACCCCTCCCCGAAGGGGAAGAAGGAGGGGTGGAAGAGGAAACGCTCTAAACCACCGGCGCCCAGAGGGCTGCTGGGATTCTTGCAGACGTGCACTAGTTCAGTGTCTCGGACAATTCGTTTGGGATGGTCGCGTGGTTGATGGTCCAGTCGACTGTCTATTCCCATATTTGTTGTCCTCCTTTTGTCAATTCGGCGGCTGGGGTGGCTGGAAAGCGAAACATGATATGTCGATGGGGGCCGATTGCCTCGCGCGCGCGCCCGCCCGCAGCTGCCGGGCCCGAAGGCTCCTGCAGCCCAGTGGGGATTCGGGGTTTCCTCCCGCGATTTCTCCCCGTACGCCCCCACCTGCCCCGCGTGCGACGCCGCTCCCGCGCGATCATCGCCAGGATGTGCGGGAGCTCCTCCGCCTGGCACTCCTGCTCGCGGCGCCGCCGGGTCGCCCGCAGCCTCGCTGCTGCTGCCCCCGCCGCCCCCGTGAAGGGGCGTTCTTATCCACCCAGTGTGGAGGACCGCGCGCTTCCCGACGAGTCCTGCCGCTGGGCGGCGGGGAAGAAGTTCGAGGATCTGCTCCGTGCCTCCAGCCCGGACTCGACTGACAAGGCCTCCGATGGGTGACGGTGCGCAGGGGGGGAGCAGCGCTACAGGCGTAGCCGTCGGAGCACCTGCCGCAGGTGGCGCCTCTTCAGCAGCTGCTCCTGGCGCAGCCGCCGTAAGGCCAGCCACGGGCGGCCCCTGTTGGTCACTCGAGCCCCTGGAGGGCGTCGAACGCCACGCCCTGCGCGCGCCACACAAGGCCAGACCTCCCAGATGTGTCTGCGCCCTTCGCCAGCTGCTGGTGGCTTAGGGCTGGGCCCCCACCATCTTCTGCAGGTCGGGTAGAGACATCTGGCAGGTCGCAGGGTGATCAGCGGGTTTCTGGACGGCGCACTCCTGCCGGCGGAGGGCGGCGGTGGGCACGCGGACGGCCGTGGAAGTGCCCACTCGCCCGTCTGCCTCCGACCAGGAATGGGTGCCTTCCTTTGTGGACCGAGTCTCGGGATTTTGATTCGGGGGTGCTGCTGTTCGGGTTTGCTTTCGGCGGGGCGCAGCTCTTCCCAGGGCTGGGGGCGCATCGGTACCTTCCCCTGTGGACTCCGTGAACTTGGCCGTGCTGGTCTATCCGACCCTGTCGGCTGTACCGGTCCACCCGCTGTTGAACCACAGTGGCGGTGTTGACGGGATCTCTTGGTGGTCGGCGGCGGGGGGTCTCATTGGATCTACGGGCGGACCACCGTTTCTGAAGCACGCAACGGCAGACGCTGTGCGCTCTCTGGGCAAGTCGAGGCCCGGCGGGTCCGCGCGGCAGCGCTTTAAGACGACTCGACTACGGGGGGCGCCAGTCTGCTCTGGAAGCCCTCGCCGCGCTGCCACCGAAGCTTCCCTGCGAACGCTGTTCCAAAACCTCCTCGCAGGTTTTTTCCTGTGGGGATTGGGTTGGGCGTGGGGGAGGCGAGGGCAGGAGGTGAGGAGAGCAGTCAAGAAGTCGGACCTTGAAAAGGCGTCTGTGGCGCGGGGCCTTGCGCGCTGCTGTCCACAACGCCGCGTCACGCTGGTTTTTTTCCCCCTGCCGCGGCGGCCAAAGAGGTCCAACGCCAGCCGCGCGCCGCGCGCCGCCCGCGCCTGGCCCGCGGGCTCCTGCGGCGCCTGGGCGCGCTCCCAGAGAGATGCGGGCGAGGCGGGGCGCAGGGTGCTCTCGTCTGAGGTCTGGTCTTTTATACCTCCCTGCGACAGGCACCTTTGTGGCAGGCAGCAAGCTGGCGGCGGCCCACGCTGACCCACCCACCTTTCCGCGACCCAAGGCGACGGCACCTGCCGTTGAAAATTGCAGCCTTCCCGACCGGAGGGAGGCAGCTTGCAGGCGCGGGGGGCTTCCTTCGCGGGGGGCGGGGGGCGGAGGGGGGCGTCGCGTCGACGCCGCGAGCCCGTGCGCAGGCGGCCTCGCGTGGCCCTGCGTGTCCCTGCCCGCGCCCCAGCCGCGGCGGCCCGGGCACTCGCTTGCCTGCTCCGCCCTGCTGCCCTGCACCCTCTCCTCGCTGCGACGGACGTGGTCGAGCGTCGGGGTCCACCGACGGGTCCTGGTCCTCGACCTGCGCGCGACGACGGGACCACTCCGTGCGGCTGCGACCCCAAGCTCCTGCGCCAGGTGGCGCAAGTCGGCCGCCGCAACCGACCCGAAGACACGAGTCTTGGCGAGGGCGGCATCCAAAGGACGCGGGAGCACTACAGGAACCCACCAACAGCCACCAAGGATTTCCTGAAGCCTCCACGGGACACCTCCAAAGACATCCGAGGGAGGAGGGGGCAAGGGGGGAGAGAAGGGGAGGGGAGGGGGAGAGAGCGAAAAGGAGGGGGGGAGGACAGGCAAGTGGGGTTGTGGACGGTAGTTGTTGACCTGCCCCCTCCTGCGGGTTTGAAGGTCCTTCAGGTGTTCCGGTAAGGTGTGGAGGGTAGGCACGACCACTTGAGTGATGCCACCTGTGACGCCGCAGCGGCACGGATCGAACTATCACCTGGGTATGGGGTTGGGGAGAGGAAGCGACCGCATGAGTGACACCACGCTGGTACCTGTTCCGACCGGGCGGCACGGGTCGACCGATTACCTCATTGTGTGTGTCGGACACGTTGGGCGAGGCGCGACGCCAGTAGGCAAAGGTGGGCTGACGTTGACAGGCACACTCAGGCGGCAGAATAAGTAATCCCGTCCGCGGCCCGTCTAGGATAATAGTGACTGGTGGCCGTTGGCGCCCCTCCCTATGTAGGGAGAGCCTCGACCCCGTCCCTTGGCAACTGACGCCGTGCAGTCTTGGTGTCTTGGCAAAAGAGGGCTACCGAAGCGGCCCGGAGGATGGCAGCCGCAAGGGGTGTGAGGTCCCTGGTGGTCCTCACTGCCTCACTGGGGTGGGGGGGGGGGCAGAGGGCAGAACGGTCGAAGCAGATGTCGGACGGCAGCGTTTTGCAGGCGGAGGACACGAATTTGCGCAGAAAAGTCCTGCAAAAGGCCACCTGGGAGAGGAAGCCTCAGGAGGAGAGCGGAGGGAGGAGGGAGGAGGAAGGAGGGAGGAGGGAGGAGGGAGGAGGCAGGAGGAGGGAGGAGGGAAGATGGAGGAGGGAGGAGGGAGGAGGGAGCAGGGAGGAAGGAGGAAGGAGGAGGGAGAAGTGAGGAGGGAGGGCGGAGGGGAGGGACGGGGTGGGCAATCAATTTCACCAGCGCGGGCTTCCAGTGTCGCAGTTCGCAAACTCCCCCTGCCCGGCTTTGTCGTGGCCGAGGTGTCGCACACCCTCCGACCCCGACGTAGGTATTTTTTAAAGGTCAGGCTTTTTTCCGTAGGAACCGTTTTTCATCCCGAGTCTTTTTTTGACGGTCCTGGGGCCCAAGACAAGCTCCGTGAATGCAGGACTTTTCTTTTGGAGTGCATTGGATCTCTGGGCCCTCGTCCGGGCGCCGTTTTGGCTGCCTCCGCCTGGGCGGCCCCCCGCCGGCGGCCGCACCCGAGGGCGGCCTCCCTCCGCCGGCGGCCCGCCTTCCGCCTGCCGGCGCTGGGGTGCGGCCGGGCTGTCGGCGCGCCCGATGTCCTCCTCGGGCTGGCCGGCGCAGGGCGCGGGCTGGTACGGCTGGCACGGGTGCCTGGGAGGGGCGTCGGTCCACCACCCGTGTGACCCTTCGTCGGGGTGGCCTGTGGTGCGGGCCTGCTGGGGCCCACCGATTGCCGAACGCGACGCGGTAGTAGCGTCTGACACCTTTTTTTTTTTGGGGGGGGGGGGTAAAAAAAAATAGTAGCGTCTGACACGCTTGTGGTTGGCCCCCCCGTGGCCCCTCAAGAGAGTGCGCACCAAAGGTCACCTTGACCCAGGGTCACTCTTCTGTGTGACCGACGTGGGGCCCCGGGAGCGAGGGCCAAGGCAAAGGGGGGCCGGCCAGGGCGCCGGACTTTGCAGGGCCCTGCAGAGCGAGGAGTGTCCTGAGTTGTGTTGGCGCGCAGGGTCCTGCGGGATCAGGCAATTCCGTACTGACCCGCGTTTGCGTTGACCCGGGCCAGTCAGGGACTACACGTTTGCGTTCAGTTCTGGGGTTGTGAATGCAAGAAAAGCGTCGAGGGCGAAGTCCCCTCTTTGCTGTCTTCGCAGTTGTACGGTGGCCTGGGTCGTCGTGGATCTCGGCCATGTACCCGGGGCTGTTTTTCTTTCATCCTGCGTCGTTTTGTTGACGCAGCTTTGACCAGACCGCCCAGGACCACGCCCACGTGCACGGGGAATGGAATTTCAAAAAGAACTGTCGTTTGTAGCGGCGGGCTGGCCGCCTGGTCTCAGTACTCCGGTCGTTCTCCGAGGACGTCTCGGGCAACCGGGGCCCTCAAGGCTCCCAAACTGTGCTGTGACGGACTGTGCGGAGAGGTCGTTGGGGTTTCCGAGGTGACCGCGCGGTCTGTCACTGCACTGCTTCTGGGACCTCCAGCGTCCTCCTCTCCCCTCCTCCCTCTCCACCTCTTCCTCCTCCTCCTCCTCCTCCGCCTCCTCCTCCTCTTCCTCCTCCTGGCGGTCTTCTTGGAGCAGGTTGCGGAGCATGCGTGTGTATGGCCGCCGGCGTGTGGGCTCAAGCTGAATCCAGAGGAAGGCGTATGATCGGGCTCCGCAAGGGTGCTGCGATCCGCGCGGTACCCTGGGCCCTCCAGAACATTCTTTTGTATATCCAGAGGTCCCCCCCGGCCACGGGAGAACAGGTACCTGTCTGTTCATCGCCGAGGGTATCAGTATCCAGAGTTTCGAATGTATTTTATTGCGTTCCTCTTCGGCGTCTTGGTCGGTGGTGTCCTTTCCTGCCGGTGCGGAGCTTTCGTCTAGGAAGCATCTTGTCAAATGGTCGCCATCGAGTGGAGACGTCAGGAACATTGGCAAGTGTGTCTCCGCACACCTCGCAGGACCATGATCGCGAGATCGGCGACCCAGTTATAGTGAGTCAACGGCAAAGCTGTTGTACGGTATGGCGTAAAATGGCGGCACTTCTCCTCATCTGTCGGACGTGGGGCCCCTCGTTTGTTCAGCGGCTCTCGACCCGACGGGTCAGCCCTTCCTGGGCACCGCGATCGGCCCAGGGATCGATTGCACGGAGCGGACTGGGACCCAACGCCGTTGGAGTTTACGTGAGCTTGCAAGTTTTGTCGCCCAGTGGATCCCTCAGGCGCCGTCCCGCAACGACTCCGCGGGAAGCAAGGAGTGGCAGTTTTATTAGGCGCAGTATTGTTAGCTTAGCAAGTGATTTTGAGTAGCCTGGGCGTCGGGACTGGTGAGCTCCCCAAGGTGACGGCCGGCTCGTACCGCTGGGGGGTGATCGCGGCCACGGATTCTTTCCACCGATGCCAGGTCCGAGTTCCCCAGTGGCGACGCGGACTGCTACGCGTGCTGGTTGGGTTTGCAGTGGCGCAGCGAGGCTCAAAGGTGTTCTTGCTCAGGTGTCTCAAGCGTAGCGACCTCGACGCTCGCGTGCTTGCCATCAAGGAGATTCATGACGGCGAGAGGAGGGGGGGAATCCAAGGACGCGGCCAACGTGCTGATGGAGACGAGCTGGCCTTACTGGCCAATCCTTGGGCCGCGTACGGCTTGCTGGTGCCTGCTCTTCATGGCCGACTGGGGCTCTCATCCTCGGGCGCGCCACGCGAGGTGGAAGCAGGAGACGGGGCTGGGCAGCTAAGACCCCGGCGTCAGCGAGCACGAGCTCATCATGCGTGTCTTTGATGCTACCATCTCTTTCGACCAGCCCAGCGCGAGCGAGCTGGCCACCTTCGAGTGCCTCGCGCGCTGGGCCCAGCTCATCGAGTACAAGTGCCGTGAGCGGGACATGGGCTGGCCAGGCGCCAGCGACACCATCGAATATGACTACCTGATGGCGCGCGGCGGAGACGCGCCGCGACCTGATGATCGGGGTGTCTCGATCTGCAGGGCCACATCACGGCCGAGCTGCATCTCGTCGGAATGAAGGCGCGTCGCAAGCTCCGCAAGCAGCGTGCCGGTGTCCGTGCAGGAGGGCGCGGCGGCGGCAGCGAGGGGCAGGACCGGAGACCACAAGGACGGCCTCGACAAAAAGATCGAGCAGCAGGCGGACGAGCTTGAGAAGCTGCAAGCTGCTCAGTTGCGCGGTCGCAGCGACAAGTCTGGCGGCGGCGGTCAAGGCTGAGCCCGCGCGCCCCCCCCGGGCGCCCAGCCTTCTGCCAGGGCGCCCTCGCCGCCCGGGCACTCCAGTGCCTCGGCCCTGGCTGCCATGGTGGTCGGGCGCGAGCTCCTCCCCATTGACGTGGAGCAGCTGGCCGACTCCTCTGTGCATGACGGCCTGGACTGTGCCTTTCGTAGTGGCCGTGGCCGTGGTCGCCGCCGGGTCGCCCTTGGCGACCGGATGCGCGAGACCGCGTCTGCTCTCAACGTTTAGTGCAGCCACGGCGAGCCCAGCGTCTCGCATCCCCTTCCTCTTGCTCAGCGACGTGGTGTCGAGCGCCCCCGACGCAGTTGGGGGCGTCTCGGCCAACCTGACCTGAGCGCCGCAGTGGCCCTCAGCGAGCCGTGCGGTAGCATGTCTGGGTACCTAGACTCGGTGACGTGCGCTTCCTACCAGCGAGACCTCGTCTCGTTGCCTGTCGGCGGAGAGCTGGCCCAAGGGTTCTTGTGTCTCGGCGGTCCTTGAGTTTTCGGAGGGAGTGGACGCAGCATTCCCTGCAGCCCGGTAGCAACTGGGACGCGATCTTCTCGAAAGTCAGGTCACGCCTGGACAGCCGCTTGAAGAGCCGCTCGTCCGACGCGAATTTCATTTTAGAACTGCAGGCTGGAAGAATGGTGAGCCGTCAAAGCCCGAAGCCAGCAGACCTCGGGCTTTTCTTTATCTGAAGAGGCGATGGCGTTCGGCGGCGTCTCATCTTCGATGCCATGGGGGCGCGCGAGTTTCTTCGTGCCCCCGAGTACTCGTGGTTGCCCACCTCTGGCGCGTGCTGTTGTTGTTGTTGTTGTTGCTGCTGCTGTTGTTGTTGTTGTTACTGCTGTTGTTGTTGTTGTTGCTGCTGTTGTTGTTGTTGTTGCTGTTGTAGTCGTCGTCGTTGTTGTTGTTGTTATTGCTGCTATTGATGTTGCCATTGCTGTTGCCATTGCTGTTGTTGTTGTTGTTGTTGTTGTTGTTGTTGTTACTGTTGGTATTGTTGTTGTTGTTATTGTTGTTGCTGTTGTTGTTGTTGTTGCTGTTGTTGTTGTTTTGTTGTTGTCATTGTTGTTGCTGTTGTTGTTGTTGTTGTTATTGTTGTTGTTGTTATGGTTGTTGTTGTTGTTGTTGTGGTTGTTTTGTTGTTGTTGTCGTTGTTGTTGTTGATGTAGTTGCGGTTGTTGTTGTCGTCGTCGTCGTTGTTGTTGTTGTTGTGGTTGTGGTTGTGGTTGTGGTTGTTGTTGTTGATGTTGTTGTTGTTGTTGTTGTTGTTGTTGTTGTTGTTGTTGTTGTTGTTGTTGTTGTTGTTGTTTTGTATGCTTGACGAAGGTGGACTTTCTATGCGTCGAGCTGACGTTGTCAACGCCTTCTACAGGATCGCCTTCTCATCTGGCTTTTTTTGTCTCTGCTAAGCATCTTTGGCATCCTTCAGGAACGCCTTCTCCGTCATTTTTCTCTCCACCTCCCTCCTGTCTCTGCTAAGCACCTCGAGGCGCTGTCCCTGGTTAGTTCAGGTCGCTCTCAGGGCGCCGGGGTGTTGTCCCCGGTGCTCTGGATGCTCCCCGTGGGCTGGTCCTGTTTCTTATTGTTTTTCTACCAACGCATAGTGGAAGATGCCATTCCCGCTTCTGGCCCCCCCCCCGACAAGCTCGTCCAGGAAAGGTGGGCGATGGCCGACCTCTGTGTCGCCGCCGTCTCTGTCGATGGTGTTGCTCTCCTCTGGGCCCGCTCGTCTGCTTGTGCTGACGGTTTCTTGAGGGCCGTCTACCTCTTGGAACAGCGTGGCCTGATTGGTAGGGAGGTGGTGGGGGCCCCAGAGCAGCGAGGGTTCAATTGTCTCACCTTGGAGCGGCAGTCCGGTCAGACTTCCTTATCGACTCAGCGTTTGCGGAAAATTCGGCTCGGGCTCCTGGAACTTTGTCTGGTAGGCTGGTGCAGTGGAGAAATGTTGAGACGGGTCCTGGGGCACCTGACCTGGGCCTGTTTATTGAAACGGGAAATGCTGTCTGCTGTTTTCTCGGTGTTTAAAGTCGTTTCGCTTGCGGTGGGTCGGCGGTGGCGTGAGATTGCGGCGGATCTCCGCTGCCTTGCTACCGTTCGCAGTCGTGGACTTCAAGCGGCCGTTCGACCCGCTCGTGGTGGCCTCGGGTGCTTCTGGAGCCGGGTCCTTCGACGGCGGCGACCCCGGCGTTTGCGAGCGGAACTGGAATCCTGGTGTTTTGTCGGGCAGTGGCCAGCCGAGCCGAGAAAAGGCGTTGCTGCGTGTAGGGAGCTATCGGTGCTCGGAAGCAGGCCTTGGGATTTCTTGGGAACAGACCGCGCGTCGTTCATGGGCGGCTGCGGGCCCAGGGAGGCGCCGCCGACATCTCGCGCGTCGATCGGGGGCAGATCGGGGACTTCGATGCGTGGTCCACGGTCCTGCTCGGTCGTTTCGCCACCGCGGCAA